GATCTCAAATCACGATTTCAAATCAGATTCGGTGGGCCAAACACCCCCTAAGAACATTTGGAATCATGACTTAAGATTGCGACTAGCTCAAATCGCTGTGAGCCAAACACCTCCTCACTCTCCCCGGCAAATGCACTCGAGTGCCGAACCGGAGGCCAGGAGCCATACCTGCTCTACCAAGCATATTTGTTCGAAATCAACTGAGGCGGGAGGAGATCCTCCGATGACCGCCATTCATTAGGTGGTATGGTACTTCACCACCACCACCGAAGGTTTAGTTATGCGCTGTATTGTTATTTTATTCCTGACCTTTATGAAACCACACAACACCACATTATAATGATAAGTCTTGTCCTAACCTCGACTGGGCTATCAGAAACTACTAACCAAAGCTAACATCTGGGCTTAGGTTCCAGGAATCAACTTCTCTGGATACTAAGGGCACGCGTTTATACCCCATCATAAGACGTTTATTCGCATTCGGGGAGTTCATACTCGTAGAGATCGAGACGCGTTCGTGCTGGGGAAAAGTTGAGGAGAAAAAAAGTAAAGAAAAGTAATCCGTCCTACAGATAAATACATCCAAATCATTACAATAACACTTCGCCATAGTCCGCCGGCTCAAGCCAAAACTCTAGCCTTCAAAAGCACCTTCATCTCATCATAATTCTCCCCCCGCTCAGTTCCCCACTTGATCACGCTCGGAAACACCACTGCCTGAATAGTCTTCCCATCTAGTGCGTTTACTGGCTGTCCGGTGTGCGGATCAACATGTGTCTCGTGCTCCTGGTACACGTCCTCCATTTGAGCACAACGAAACTGAGCCTCGGCGGGCTCCGATAGGACCTTAAACTTGGCGATTTGGCAGCCAAGGTCCAGGGAGAGCGTGGCAGCGGATTCTACGATGCGGGAAAGAAAATGCAGGCGCTCGGGCTGGCTTGTGGTTGTGGCGAAGGGGGATAACAGGTTGTCTAGGCGTTGGGAGATAGTCGTGACGACATGTGCTTTGGATTCCGTGGTGAAGGCCTTCGAGAGCATGATGAATGTTTGGGAGCGCCACTTGTTGAACTCAGCTCCTGAAGCTGAACTTTATTAGTTTTGTATCCCGATGGGGATTGGCATAAGTAAGGACTCACTATGCCTTCCCAAGCCCGTTTCCATAGCTACAAGGCCATCCCCAACCCCGACAAACTCCCCACTCTCAAATGCTTTCTGGATAACGTGCCCGGCGACCGCGCGGAGTACCATTGTTCGGGATCTGGGCTGCTGCAGCAACCGATCAAATAGTGGAACCTGGGAAATCAATATCTCTCGCAACTCTGGTGAAAGATCGGGGCGCTGTTCAGTGGATTTGAAGTGTATAATGATCCAGTCTTTCAATTCCTGCTCTAGCTGCTTAAACCGCGAGGCTATGCTACGATCATCTAGAGACGGAGGCACACTATTGGAGCGCATCAGGGTTGCTTGCAGAGCGGAGAGCTGCGTGTTTCGTTCTTCGAGTTGGCTCATTAGGTCTGCGTTTCTAGCGCTTAATTCGCTGATTGTAGATTGGCCTTTCGTAGAACTGGTATCTGGAAGTGTCATCGCTGGGTGAGAATGGGAGGGGTCTTTGGCAGCTGTTTTTTTTTTTCTCTCAAGTAACATTATTGATAGTCGTTAGTCCGGTATACACATGAACCGGCCGGCGGATGAGGGGTGAAGTAACCTTTTCTCCGCTTAAATAACAAGAACAGTAGAGCCACCAAGGTGATAGCGAATAACACCCCCATGACACCTGCTACTGCAGTTACGGCTGTATTCTTTGGGTCTGTCTTTTTGGGATCTTGAGTGGACTCCGTTGGGGATTGTCCACTAGCGTGCACCGGGGATCGCGTACCGGAGGTACTGGTGGGCGTACTAGCTGGCGCAGCGGTTGCTTTACCCCCGCTAGTGGAACCGGTGCCCGATGAAGTACCTGAAGTGGCTGCTGAGTGTATCGCTTGTACGATATATCCTTCCCGAATACTTTGGAGGATTGTGATGCCTCCCGGGCCTTTTGCTTCATATGAAGGACTGGATAGGGCTTCGGCGGGCACCGTTATTGGTGCATAGTAAAGGGTGAGGGAGGGAGATGTGGCTGGGGCCGGTGCAAAGACAGTTGCTGTTCCCGAAACTCTCGTCAAAATCTGACTGGTGGAGTAGTACTGGGCCATCTTGGTGGTATTAGACGGCGGGGAAGCGTGAGGAGGGGGGTGATCACAAAAAGGGGGAGAGAACGGAGGAGGGGAGGAAGAGGAAGAAGGGGAGGAAGAAGAAATTGAGTGTTGTACCGTACGAGTTAAATCTAGCCTCGTTCCATAGGTCCATACTATTATACTATCATATTAAGATATTATGGTAGGTTATGATTCCTTGGAGTAAGTTAACTCTGCGGCTGACAATTCCCACCCAACTGATCGCTTCTCACTCACCATGAGGTTCTGACATCCTCTGCCCTTTCTGCCCCCCTCAGCATACCTGGTAGTACCGTACCCTACGGTACGATTCTGGAACGTATGCTTGTATCGACTCGCATTTTTTACGAATCGGCCATTCCCGGCGTCCTCAGTCTCGTGGAACATGTAGGACTTCTTTCCCCTCTGTCGCCTGACGGCTATGGATCGCGCTAATGGCGGGCGAGTTGGACTGCCGTGGATCGTATCGTAACAATGACAGGAAATCCTGTCATATTGTACCGGTACCGTAATAGAATTGAAGGAATAACTTGCTTGTCCCGTACTTGCTTCAGCTTCTTGGCTCCCCAAGGTTGAGGCTCTAGGCCCATGTCTTAGTGGAGAGAGGCTCTTTTTTGAGCCAACCGAAGTATGACCCGCACGGCTACGCTTTTGCTCTCGCTTAAGGGGGAGGCAGGGTACAGGAGAAGGGGAGGTTGTCTCAACAGGGGTTATTTCAACCAATGATTGGCCGGTAGTTACTTTTTTTTGGCTCCACGAGCATGCTGTTCGATTGCGGCTCACTGGTATGATACGGTACTGTGAATCCCGTACTTGACCTTGTTGTACCCACGGGGGTTAGTTGGCTCTCTTGGTAGCAATGCAGCGGAAGGTGCTTTGCTTGCACTCTCGTCGGGTACCGTACTCGAGTCTCGTACAGCACAAGTGATAGTACAAGTGCTAGGTGTTTTCCTACAGGTATTATTTGACAGCCTAACCTAAATTCACTGCTGGTTAGCTTTATCCGGAACTTGTACAGTCACACCCCACTGTCCCGGATCTCGATAATCCGGATACCTCTGCCCAGTATGAACTTTCATCCTGTTGTTGTTTTGGCAGCGAATATATACATTTATCTGTGAACTCTGAACTTGAATTTCTTTCCACCAAAACCTAACCCGCTGTCCCTGATCCCTCGCTGTACCGGACAAATTCTTCTGATTTTGGCCGTGCGGGATAGCGAGGTGCGACTGTACGAGTAATCTGCGCTGGGGGAGCTCCATGCAGTTAGAGGCTATTCTTTCCCAGCCTAACTTCCATATAGGCACTTGTAACCCTCCCGCAGGTGGAGATACTTCAGCCATCGCTCGTAATAGGAATACGAATTGCTTTTCCAACTCAAGCCACCGCTATCTTGTATCACCGTGGCTTGGGGTGTACCGTACTGTACATGTGGCGTTGGTAGGGGGAGGGATAAGAGATACAAGTACTCTTAGTGCTCGAGCACAGTACCCGCAGCGATTCTGTATTTTTAAAGCTAGCTTTACTCACCGCAGTTAAATTCTGGTAAAGGTCTGCGGGGTATGTCTGCGAAATCGCAAAGTCTTTAGTGTGTAATACCATTTTCGCATACCGTAGTGTACTCGAGTACGAGTACAGTACAGACGGGGCGGACCGACTCGAAACTTGGCACTCGAAGGAAAAAATGCTTTTTCGATTGCGGAGCTGAATCCCTCTAAAACCGCACAATTTATCATACGGTAGTACGGGTGCTTGTACTCGTATACAGTCGCACCTCGCTACCGTATAATAGATCACTTTATAAGGAAGACCTCTCTATTACGAACGAACGCTCTGTGAATTTACCCCCCTGCTCCCATACTCGTACAAACGACTCCCGTTATAAGGGATTCCGTTCAAAACCTCGCTATAGCGAACGGAAAATCCCGATTTCTTGGCATTATTTACAGCGAGGTGCGACTGTAATACGATACAGTCCCCATAGTATCGCGCCTATGGGGAGGCTTTATCCCAAAACGGGGCAAGGCGTAAAAGCCACGAAAATGTGATGGATGTGCCGGTTCACGTTCTGCAGTTCCAATGCCCTATTAGCAACAAGTCGTTCGATGATACCGGCACTCATAGTGTACGGTACTGGCACAGTACCGCGCGATACTGTACTAGACGTTTTTTAAAGTCTCCGGAATGGGAAATGAATAAGTGATGCACTGATGGCGTAATTCCTGGCTTCACCTCACCGATATTTGCAGGGGCTTACAGTAACTTGGCACCGGGCCCGTAACCTACGTTCCGGAGACTTTAAAACACGCCGAGTACGAGTACGATTTGGTACTGTACTGGTAACTCACTCGCAATGCTGCAAAATGTGTTCGACATGAAACATGGCTGCCAGCTATCCATGCTCTTCGGCCCCAGCTCCACCCCATACCATGCATCCGCCGTGGCAGGATGTTGTGGTCGGGCTAAGGAGGAGGTGCCACGAGTCGTCACTCAGCCGCCCAGTACTTTTTGCCCAGGGAGCTATTTCCAATTGGGCGCAATTTGCGTTTTCTATCGCGGAGAAAAATCCTTGGCTCTACGCACACACAACCCTAAGGTAGTAGTCTAAGTAAGCGTAAGTGAGTGAGTGTTTAGCTACCACCACCATAATCACCCTTCTAGCCCCCGGTATTCCACTCCCGCATTTGACTGTCGAGCGATAGTCCCAACCGCCGATGGCAGGCCTTCACAAAATCATTGTCGGGCTCGACTTTGGTACGTTTCTCTATCATGATTTTCCAATCGGAACCTAACTAAAATCTCCCCCTCATCTAGGAACAACATATTCCGCCCTCGCCTGGGCGTCAACCAACCTTCCGGGTCAAATCAACCTGATAGGAAACTGGCCGAGCGCTGGGATCCTAACCCACCACAGTGCGCCCACCGAGATCGCCTACCACGAGGGCGGCACAACAGACTTCTCCTGGGGCTACGACATCCCGAGAACTGTACGGAGATTGAAGTGGTTCAAGCTGCTTCTGGAGAGTAACGATGAGCATGTGCAGAGTGGGATGCCTCTGCCACCGGGGATGACGGCGATGGATGTCACCCGGGATTTCTTCTCAGCCCTCTACCAGCACGCTATGAGCACACTTTGGAAGCAGAATGGGGAGGCGGTGATGTCGATGACGAGAGTAGATTTCGTGCTTACGGTGCCGGCGGTTTGGTCGGACACTGCCAAACAGAGTATGTTTCTCTTTCTTCTCCTGGGATTGGCTAATGGGTTGCGTCTGTGGGTTACCGGGATTTCTGATCAGTCATAGGGACAAGAGAAGCGGCGATCGCGGCGGGGATGTTGAATGAACATAACCTTTCGTTGCTATCAGAGCCGGAGGCTGCGGCGATATATACTATTAAGAATCAGGATAGGAATGCTATAAACGTATGTTGCTTGCTTCTCGTGACAAACTTAGCTAACCTCCCAAGGTTCACGACAAGATCGTAGTCTGTGATGCTGGCGGCGGAACAGTCGTGAGTCTACCCCCGCATAAGCCGAAGTAACAGCCTAGCTAACCGAGATTTAGGACTTGATCTCTTACACGGTCCTTAGTATCAACCCTCTAAAAGTAACGGAATGTGCTGTGGGGACGGGTAAATCCTCCCCGAGCCCATAAGATGCCTTAGAATACTGATCCTTAATTCCATAGGCGATTTCTGCGGCTCAACCTACATTGATCGTAACTTCGAAAAGTTGCTTCAGCAACGCCTGGGCAGCCACTACAACACCCTACGTGTAGAAACCCAACAGCGTATCGTAAAAAACTTCGAAGAGGTGAAGTGTGCGTTTAGGGATAAACCTGACCAAAGTTTATATCACGTGAATGTCCCAACCGTAGACACGATCCAAGAAGCGGGGATATATAGCGGGGAGTTCCAATTGACTCGGTAAGTCTATGGGATCAAGTGGGCTTAAGTATGCTAGGCGGCTACTAACAAACGGAGTAACTAGTGAGGAAATGAGAGGACTGTTTGATCCGGTAATCGACCAAATCATGATTTTGATAAGCAGTCAAATACAATCCATCTCCAGAGAGGGAAGTAACGTAAACGTAGACTATGTCCCCTCCACAACTGCTTCGCGGTATCATGTATACTAACTGAACTACAGTCTGTCCTCCTCGTCGGCGGCTTTGGAGAATCCCCGTACCTCTTCCAACGCCTGGAAGCCTGGTGCCGGCAATGGGGGATAAGTGCCATCTCCCCCCACGGAGCGTACCTCCCCCGACTTCGTTCCCTTCCACGCAGCCGCTAACACACCCTCCCAGCGCAACAGCGGTGGTAAAAGGGGCCGTCCTACGGGGCCTCGAACCATCCCTACCTCTCCAAGTAAGCACCGTTGTCCGGCGCGCCCGTCGGCATTACGGCACCCCAATGAGCACCCTCTTCATCCCGGGCCAACATGGCGAGCGCGATGCCTACACCGACCCAATAACCGGCCGCAAGATGGCGCGCAACCAAGTATCCTGGTTCCTGGCAAAGGGAGAGCCAATAACCGACGACCGACGCATAACCAAGAACTTTTGCCGAAGCTTCAGGAAATACTCCGGACCGTGGGTCGATAGTATGGTGGCGTGCGACCTGGACAGCCCGCCTAGCAGGGTCACGCAAGATGTCAAGCATGTTTGCAATATCTCGGCAGATCTGAGCACCGTGAGAAAGTCCTGTTACGAGAAGAAGTGGAAGAACTGGAGGAGGTTTTACGTCGCGAGATATAATCTAGATTTGACGATTTCGAGTGGGGATATGAAGTTTGAGTTGATTTTCAGGGGGGCAAGTTTTGGGGTGAGCCTGGCCCCGTTCTTATTTAGTGTGGCGCTAAGATAGAGCTGACGGTGGGATGTAGGGTATTTCGGTGACTTTCGACCTGTAGGTGTGGATTGGTAGAGGTTATGGGTGGGGGATCGTTAGCGGTCATGATATATCCTTCTTGTGGTCTACCCTCAGGGTTTTGTGGAGAGAGGAGCACTCGAGCTTGGTTGCGAGAAAAACTCCCTCGAGTAGTGGATGATGAAGATTGTATCATACGCTTTATATACACGTCAAACAAACCCCTATCATAGGTTCACTGGATGAGGTCTCGTGAAGTCGCACAACCAGATCCAGGCTGTCGGGATAGACCCTACAATCTCCTAAGGACTAAGATTGTTGTACATCGAGGTAAACAGGAGATAAAATTATACAGGTATGAGACGAGCGGCGGAAGCGACCTGCTTAGCCATCCGGGGGGGGGGTGAATGGGTCCCTCATATACGTGAAAATTCTCTTGCAGGTTTCATTCTACAACTTACAGACATATCTGTGGCCCAGCTCCACGATATTCAACAATGTAGCATAGAAATTTATTGGATTTACTGCTTATCCCCCGATCGGACTAGTTTCCTCTCATCCACCACTCTCCTAATCGTAGGACATTGCTTAACTTTCCCTCATCTCTCCTTCGTTCGTCTCAAACCTCCACAACCATACCATATCCGACCATGGTATGACCCGTTTCCTTATTACCTGTCATTCTACCGTCCTTCCGATGTTCTCATATGTCCCCTCCCCTCCCAAGGGTCTTTTCAAGATATTTTCCTTTGCCCGGAGGTTCTTATGATACCATCTCTCGGCTTTCCGTTATTATTATTTTCCTTCTACTCTCGCTTTAGGATACAAACCCACAAAACTGCCGAGTGATAATATATGACACCGATGCACTCATCCCTACACGAATCGCATACGAGCGCGCGGGGGATTGTCACCCTCATGGTGTAATTCGCGACTAGGCCACTGAGATATCACCCATTCTATCCGGGAGCATGGCCACAGTTTTTGCCCACCAGCGCAGCTGTCACCGGGAAAATCACAGAAACTCAACAGCGAAGTATCCAGGAGATTGCTGAAGCTTTGTGGTGGGTACACCTAGCCGATATAGCCATTCCAGGTTCCGCGGTCCCTCACAAAGCTCCAGGCGCTAAAAGGACGATTAAAAAGCCGCCCATTTCATTCGAGACGTCTACTTACTTTACTGACCATGTATCATAAATTATAACATATGTAATACTAGTAACCCCTGAAGCGCTCGAGTTAGGGCCTCACAAGGTTACGATACCTCGATTGATCTATGATATTCTAAGCCGGTGTCCCCTGATAATTCTCTCCCTACTATCATAGCCGATCCGGTCTAACCTACGGAATGACTAAGAGTTCCTTCCAAGGTTCCATTCGGCACGTCACCGTAAAATGAAAAGGTGCTGTTTTTCTTGAAAACTATAACCCCCTCTAACATTCAGGCGCCTTTGGGAAAAAAGAGCGGAAAACAAGCTGTATTTGGGCGCCAATTACCCTATTTTGCCAGAGAATACGAGAGAAACCAATGATCACCGTGTGTTTTCGGACTACGTATGTGCAATGCACTCCGCTCCAGGCGGTAAAGGACACAGAACACCTCGGGAAGCAGCGTATATTATGTATCTGCCGCCGCTGACCCGCCCGTATTCGCAATAACCTGAGCCGTGCTTGAAGTAGACGGATACCACTCACGATTGTGCCAGCAAATGGCGTCATCTTCCGGAACGGGGACCTCCCAGAGATAGGTAGAGGCGACACACACCCCAAAAACAGCGCGCTATATAATACCCTGATTTTAGTTTCTCCATTTCCACTAGAAAAACGATTCACCTTTTTTCATATCTCACATCTATTCACCCATCACACCCATCCTATCAGTGCGAGACGAGACAGTAAGATATCATACGAGAACTCCAACTCCAACCGCCAACACGCCCGCAGCGGAAAATGGTGGAACCTGTAGCACAATAATATACCATGGAGAGGGGAAGAGCAGGCAGTCGCAGTCTGCCAGATCCGGAATATTCCACGACCAATGCTACTTACTCGCAGCCCTTGGAGTATAACTGAACCGAGCAAAAAAATAATTTTTATGCGCCCACTTCTTGCATACTTATGATATACCGGCTAGCGCCTTCGCTGAAACCCCAGGCATCCTTCCCCCTCACCTCGTTCTAACATAAAACGAGTGATGATCAATGACCGCAAACCGATCCCGTTGAGAAGGCAGTAAGTAACGGGAAGATTGTAACAAGTCTCCGGGGGGGGGGGGTACGATCGTCAATTTTTTCACCTTGCCAAACCAATGTACTGTACTGTACATGGCCCGAAGCCCACAGGGGCTATTATATCAACACAACTAAACCAAATCAAATCAGATTAAGAAAGAAAGAAAGGCATACAGAACCCCCCCGGCCTCCAAACACCCAGCTGGGCATGTGACATGGGAGGAGATCCGGTATCATACGGCATATGTACCCCTCCTCCTCCCCCAATCGTTATGATAAGCGCTCTTTCAAGACCCAACCAACTAACAAACCGCACTGATAAATACCTGCCTAACTACCTAGCTACCTCTCTACATACGTACGTACGTACCCACCTACCTACGCTTTTGGATTCCTAGTAATCAAGTGATGCCGCTCCTACCACCAGTACTTTGCAATTATTTTTGCCGCCCTTCCCAGCCCTATCCCCCCCAATGTACTAGTATACATAAATTTGGTATGTATTCCTCAACGGATGTATGATATCTAGTTGCTATGTATGGCGGAGAGAGACGGTCATGTTGGGGCTTCCTACTTTACCAGGTTTGGTATCCATGTTGTTGTTGTTGTTGTTGAGTAGCGGTATACGTTTACCATGTAGAGATGAACTATCATTGGGCTTTGGTTCCTGTATTCTTGCGCTTGTTGTGCGGTAGAAAAGCTGAGGGGCGAAGAGGATGTTGGAGGTGGATGGGGGAGAAACTTCATTATTGCTCTCAGATGCCAGCCTGCCGGCTGAAAACCGAATACCAAACAGCATGCGACCACAAGCTATACAAACCCTCACCTCAATCGGTGCGCATCACACTAAGGGCCATTGCCCGTATATACCCAACAGCGCTAAGGGCTCCCGCGTGCCGCCAACCCCGACAGCCTTGCACTGGGTCTTATTACGCGCTACTTGCTCAGCTTGCGCTCACTCAGAATCCCGAGAACGATACCAGAACTAGACACCGACATGAAATTATTCACCCATTATTTAACATTCACTGTATGATAAAAAAAATCCATTCACACTATAACCATCATAATGCTTCCAAATCCACATTAGCAAACCACACCTTGCGTAGATAATAACATTCATCATAGATACCCCCCCACCCCGATCCATGAATTTCCTTCTCACCACAACGATCCTTAATCCTATGCAATGAATAGCTATACTTAACGAAAAGGTCACAAACTGGGAGTATGCATGAATTATAAGAAATAAGAATAAGAGGCAAGAGAAAATTTATGGGAAAAGATAATAAAAAATAAACGCCATGGGTTTCCTAAAACCCATTTATAATGGAAAACAAAAAACGTCCTGAACGGAAAGGAAAAGTCACAAGACAAAACGATCTACTCAAAAAAAAAAAAAAAAGGTAAAGGTCAGGGAGATGACAGGGAGGAGACAAATCGTGTAACAAACAGGAAAAGCACACCATAAGGATTACCCCAATTAACACCGCATAAACCCTCTTTTGAAAAAATGACTTTTTTGTTATTCGTGATCCATCATTCGTGCACGACGTCTTCATTCCCTCTCCTTACCTTTCCCCGTCACCACGTCTTTCCCCCAACTCAGCGTCTTTCCTCTAGGCGCGAGACCAACAGGAGGCCCTGTGCTGGGCGTGCGCGGTTGGTCAGCAAAACGAATACCCGGGCTTCTGGTTGGCCCCTGGGCGCTGCTACCGGATGCGTCAGTCATGCGCCAGCCGGGTCCACCGTCGTCATCACTATCCGGTTCGTCGTATCCTGTGAGTCCGAGCGCAGCCTCACGTCTCTTCCTCTCCGCCGCAGTCTCCTCGTCACGTTCATCGCCTAGTTTTGAGTCGGTCGATTTTACGCTGGTGACCGGGTGTTTCTGCTCATATCTGGAGTTCAGCGACTCGCCGGAGGATCTGGAACTTGGTCCATCGAGAGGCGTAAAGCTGCCGGGTTCGTTCTTGGGGCGATCGACTTGGGGAGCCGATGGGGGGACTTGGAGTAACTCCTTTTGGCCAGAAACAGCACGTGCGCGGAGCGCTGCTGCAAGGTCACTTTCCTGGGAATTCTCCGGCAGTTCGCTCCTGCTGGCCATTGCCGCACGGGCATGGGGATCCATCTTCTGCAGCTGGTGTAAGAACTCTTGTTTGCTCATCTTCCTCCCGCGTTCATCATGCATCCTAAAATGTATCCCCTTGTCACGAGGTTCTTCTTCGTCCTCGGAATACACAGTCTTGGCATCATCATTGTCGTCATCGGGTTGGGCATCTTCTGGAGAAGTTTTATCCTTCTTCTTACCCCCGAAGAAACCCATCAAATTCTCAAGCGTGTTTGCGCGTTTCGAACTGGCGCTGGGTCGCCTCGTCTTGGGCAGCTTATACCTGCGAATAATTTCTCCATCTTCATCTTCGACTACAATGTTGTCATCGAAACGATAAGCCCATGCCGGCTCTCGGCGACGTCCTTCACCCTCAAGCTTGTTTTCCTCCCGAACGGCTCTGAGAGCCGATCTCTCATCGGTGACCTCATGAGCGGTGGCCTTTTCAATCTTTTTAGGGGGTCGTCTCTCGGATTCCCTTTCCCTTTCTTCCTCCTCCCTCTCACGATGCGGACGATGTTCGTGCCGTGGTCTCCTAAGAGCATCCAAGGGGCCGACAGGTTCATCGACAGGTGTTTGTGGGACTTTGGTTTGTCCCAACACATCGCCCCGCTCGTTCTCCACAATGATATTCCTGCCTTCTTGGTATACTTCGGTTCCATTACCCCTGCCCTCAAGGGGCTGAAGGGAATACCCATAGCTATCGCCCCCCTTAGCTGCAGTTTCCGGGATAGCCACATTGGCTTCTTCTTCATCCCTTCTCCTGCGGGGCGCTATAGCCGAATCAGATATCGGTCCACCGGGCCCTATTCCGGATTCCCAATTCCTTCTACGTTTGGCCCTGATACTGGCTGGCCTGCTTACCGCCGGGCTATCGGTATCACGAAGGCCATTTTCTCTCGTCTGGAATCCACCGGGAATACCGCCTGGCGCAGGAAGAGTCCCAGGAGGGACCATCCGATCGGTAACCATGGTCGATTTTTCATCCGAAGACTCGTCCATGTCGGGTTTGCGAATGGACATTGATGTCTTGGGCGTAATTCTCGGAAGCCTAGCAAGCCAATTCGGTTCCTCGTTGGCCGTAGTGTAAGACATGGTAATCTTCATGGTATTGATACGTTTTCCGAGCGTAAAGACGGCAATCGAGGACCCGTGAACCACAATCGAAGAAATGACCAGAAAGCATGTAATCGGCCAAATCAACGAAATCAAGATAAAGTGCTTATTTGTTTTCTCCAGCTCAGCAAAGTCCCCCCTAGGTGTGGGCGTAGTCGAATGGGTTTCGAGCTCTGCTCTGGCCAGAATCGCAACGAAGATAGCACCTACGCCAATGGGTCCGAAATGGCCAGCAAAAAGCGCCTCTCGCCAAGTCTTTATATCAGGAATCAGCGGCTTCAGGGCAACCATTACCGGGATCCGCCTGAATAATATCACAAATAGGGCAACAACAACAAGCCTCCACGGTGTGATCCCCCAACTGGGCCTGTTGAAGTCTGCCCACGGGATAATCGAGCCAAAGTAGACAAAGTAAGCCAAATTAAGCAGCAAGTCGATAACGTTGGAAACGTGAGATTCCTCGGTCTTTTGGGCAAACCATCCATCGTTTGAAAATGCGACACCAGCGCAAAACCCAACCAGGAGATCATCCAGCCCAAGCATACTTCCAGTTCCAGCACACCAAAGGGCAAGTGTGAAATAAAACACCAAGAAACTCTCGCGATCAATAATGTTCTTACCCTCGGCCCAGCGAATAGCGCGTCGTCCCGCGTAGCCAATGCAAGCTCCATAAATCGCTCCAAAGAGGCACTCGTAGAGAACCGTGAAGCAAAACCAGTGGTAAAATACACTGGTAGCGTTAGGCCTGTACTGAATCAAGTAGAGCGCCAGGTAAATAAACGGAAAAGCCATTCCGTCATTACACCCCGACTCGGCGGAAAGGATATCACGAAGGTGCTTAGGAATTCGGCGGGCGAATTTACCCTTTCCAACAACTGAAGATGCAAGAACGGGATCCGTTGCCGTGACACAGGCAGCTATAGTGAGCGAATCTAGCCAGTTCAGGGACGGTATCATCCACCAAATGATCAGAGAAGTGATCAACCATCCCCATGTCATCACAGGGATCAGGAGAAAGACCACAGACTTCCAATGACGCTCCATGTATTTCTACGCAAGCGATCAGTATAAAAATAAATCAAGCGAAAATCGAGGAAGGTCCAACCTTCGGCAATTCGACCCCGACGGCAAAACATTGAACGACAAGGACTATCCGGGACGCTTCCAACGTAATTTGGTCAACATTCCCCCATGTCTGGGGATCGAACAACCCGGCAGCCGAGGGACCAAAGATGATACCACATATCGTCGCAACGGCTATAACAATTAATTAGGCCCTTTCTACCGTCAAATTCCAAGCCAGCGCACTCACTAGCTTCGCCGATGTACAATTTTTCCTTGATAAATAAGGAAACCAGCATGAAAATAGACGTGAATCCGCCCAAGATCGTGTACGCCAGATGCGGCTTGTTGATCTGTATGTTTGAATCCGCCTACGTTAGCGTGCGTCCCTCCTACCGTACCCCAGAAAAGTGGTAACCCGAAAACACGAGGCAATGAAAACACGCAAGAAGATTAAAATTTATCAAAAAGCCGCGGGAGTCTCTTCCCCGTGATCGTTGGTTCACCAATCACCAACAACCAATCATTCCCGATCACGACGACATACCCCCACGCGCCAAGCCATTGTGCACCCAATTCAAACCGACCGCGCAAGAAAAGCCGGACAAACCGTGTGGGCAAACACCTACCGGTAGGCAAAAGTAACCAAGGAAACAGCAACCGAATAAAAAAAATCACAGAACAAGTTTATAGTTTAAAGGAACTCGCCAGCGCTCCATAGCAATAAGGCATTGTGATTTGTAAAGTCCGCGAGCACCAGTAAAAACAAGACTTCAAAGTAATCCCATTCCCATCGGTAGCACTCACCAGATGCATTCCTCATGGTTGGTTGCATACGCACTGATCCCTTGGGCTGCGTCGTACGAAAATTTGGGAACCCTGGTCACAGAGAACCCGACGCAGCGGCGCAAGCGGACCAAACGAGAGCGAAAAAGAAAAAGAAAAAGAAAAAAATCAGGAAGAAAATTGAAACCCATTCATCCCGAATTGCTCCGAGAGAATGGGGAAAATTAAGGTAAAAAATACTTTAGGAGAGTGGGAAAGTGTGAATGCGGAAAACTTACACTCAGATGATCCCAAACCATGTCTTGTCCGCCCTCCCGTTATTCCCGGAAGAAGATAGCCCGTTTGTTCGAGGAGCTCCCTTTCGTGTGCCGCGGGAGTGGTGGTAGGCAATCGAAAAACAAAGAGGAACCGAGGGATCCTAGCTTTTCCAGAGAACGGAGGTGGGGCGCGTGACGGCTACGTCTTGAGGTTCAGGTATTGTTTCTGCTCTACGAGCAGAAACCGGGTCCTTGAATGGGATTTCGTCGTCCGTGGGGGTGAGAGGATGGGAGGGCAAACAAGCCCTACACTCGCGGCAATCGCTCGTAAATTCCTGGGGGACCACACTCCGGCACCAAAGAGGGAATCGAGACAATCCTGTCAAAACGTCAGTCATCACTTGTCAAAGCAAAAAGCGGCAGGCAGATGACAGACGGAAAGTGCATGAGCCTTACCTCAATTCCAAGAGCTCAGGAACAATGGGGGAATGGTTGTCCAGCTGTCTTTGGCGGGGAACGGGTTTCGATTTCAAAGCCTCGAGGCTGCGGTGGGAAAGGCCCCCTTCGAGGGTGGTGCTCCGAGAGGGGAGGTGAAGTGAGATGAAACGAAGCAAACAAACGTGGTCGTGCGTAATGAGAGACAAGGACGTAAAGCTTTGAGGGCCTGAGGGGTGACAGACTCCACCTAAATTGAAGAGGCTATGATACTAGAGCGGACAAAGAATAAAAAAGGTTTAGGTAGAAAAAGTGGATGAAGGAAAGGGAAGGGAGGAGGGAGGAGAGGGGGGAAAGGAGGAAAAGGAAGGGGGGGGGTGGTGCGAAAGAAGAAGGAAGAAAACACTGTCGAGGGTGCAAGTACTCGTACAGCACTCGTGACCTGAGCCTTTAAACGGGAGAGGAACTGTAAGCGACAATGGGGACGTTGCAATAAAGTAAATTTATGTAAGCTTCCCTTTTCCCTACATTATCCCCTAGTCTAATCACTCGACACGAGTTCGCCGCCACTGTGATCCATGTCAAAATTTGCAACGAAAGGGGCTCCACCTATCAAAATACGTCATCATCTCAAACCCGCCAAGAGGGATATGATAGGAGAAGATGAGTGAAACACCCGAAAGCCCACCTGAGTCCCTGCGACAAGAGAGGCATAGAGCCAGCGCGCCCACTTACCGTGCCTTATTCTATGATACCCCCCAATTCCATCATGCCAAACCGGGCCGACAAATTTGCCCATCGGGGGGGCGACGGGAGAGAGTGACAGAAGAAGAGGCTCCTACAGCACTCTGTATGATACCATGCACCATCCTGCATGCGTTTCCAGACTTTTTCCGCCCCACAAGCCCCACGCCCCGGGAGCCCCATCGAAATCGAGGCGGGCAGTTTACGAGTAAATCGACAGACCGTACCGTGCACTGCATGGTGACGGAGTGATGGAGAGAGCCCATTTCTAGACTGCCCTCTTGCTTCATCTCAGCCCGGGCACACAAGGGGGGAAGGGGGGCTCCAACGGGTGGTCCACTCGGCCTGTGTGTCATCATGTTGATAGCACGGCACCCGAGGAGCACCAACTCTCACTCACTCGCTGACAGTCGCTGTTCTCGTCCGCACACCTCGCGAGAGCCAGCCACTCCCTCCTAGCGCAAGTGCCGGTAAGCAGCCCCCGCCACCCGCCGAGACGTGTCGTCGACTCCAAGCCTTCGTCCCCGGGCATAATACCGACATCTCACGAAAGCTTGTCTCGCCGCCAATGTTGTTCCTCGGCAGCGCGGGTGGCAACTTATCTAAGCGGATCACTCAACCGTATCCCCACTAAACCCGACCTCCCCTTTGCGGAGATTCATCTACAAGACAAGGCAAAGACGCAGGTTTGTGGGTTCACCCTTGGCAGCTTGGTGTTTTCTTCTTCTTTTTTTCTTTTTTTCCTGTTCCCTCTCAGTCACATACGAGCAGTTTACCGGTAGTTGGTCATTTTTATTTTTTTCCGCGACGATAGGGCAAGTTAAGTTACGAGTAAGGTGATACGGCAGATTCTTTCAAATACACGTACAGTACTTGTACTGCGGATGATTCGACAACGATCGCAGAGTTTCCTTCCGTTTTTCTCGTAATTACTGTACCGTAGCTGACGAGCCCGACATCACTGCCCTACACGGATTGATGCGTCGCCCTCGCTCTTGGGGACTGTATTACAAGGGGACGGGAGGGTGGGAAACTATCCATTTACCCGAGCTGTATCATACTCGTACCGGTACTGGTACTGGTACGATTACCGTACACTGCACCGGTACCACACTCCATTATCCGTCTGCCGGTAGCTTAATACACTGGACGAAAGGACAACGGTACGAGGAAGGGGTACTCGGTAGAAAAATAAAAATAAATAAATGTCACCTGATCAATCACCCACACATTTCTCATCCGGGGCAACACAAAGAAACCCTAAAAAAAGGAAACAAAAAACACACAGCCCTGCGGAAGAAGGAGGGAGGACCCTTGCTTTGATTAGATGCAGAAGAAAATGAAGAAGAAAAAAACCCTGCGCTTGCATCAAAAGGTTACCGTAGCCCAAAGTTTCTGATCGCTCGCTCCAGACCACCCGCCCCAGTTTGTTATTATGCGCTAGACCGATTCGGTAATTATCGTCGGTATCGTAATTCGTCACAAATCGTTCGCCGCATGTGATACGGGCACGGTTCGGGTGCTAGTAAGTGTATATTACCATCTCGAAGTGAACGGGTACCAAACAGGTATGATAGCCCGATAACTTAGTGGGGTCCGATATCGTTCGTGGAAGCCTCGCGGGGCGGGGCGGGGCGGGGGATTGAGGGATTTGCTCGGGTCTTGTGGTGTGTCGTGTCGTACGCTTCTCTTGTTATAATTTATAGTCTACTGTATATCGTGCCGTATTATACTATGACTGGGGCATTCAAGTGTATGATACGTATAATGTTGTTATGATAATGTGTGATGCTGCACTCGAGTATATTTGCCCTCTTATCTTTAATAATGAAGCAAGATCTTTTAGAGCGCGCGTGCCAGGTTATGGGCAATGCACCTAGAAACACCAAAAAAAACTCCCCAAGTAACTGGGAAGCAATAATTACTCTTACTAGTAGTCCCCCCTCGAGACTTCAAGGGCCTATTCCTAGTTTTGTGTAATACGATACAATACGATACGGGTGTCAGGGATAATGTTTTCGCACAGTTAATTTAGGTTAACCCGCAAAATAATCCCTGTCTTGTACGAAGACATCTCCCCTGGCACTTGTATATATCGTACGTGCCTTACAATTTATACACCTGATACACCAACCCTAGGTAGTCAAGCTTTGTTATGATAAGCTGTGAATAAGCAGGGTTTTTGACAGCTTCTCCCTCTGTCTATATGATAGAGTAGACCTACCATGATACAGACTATAAGGGGCTGTTTGGTGTGGGCAGTTTGTCGATTCAAAGCACCTTTTAGGTTCGATTTGGGTATGATTGTTACAAAATTAAGCTAAGAGTTTTTAATGCATGTTCAAAGACATGTTAAGCCAATTTCTTGGCATGGTAACTGCCCCAAAATGAGTTTTGAATTGGCAAATTGCTCGTGCCAAACAGCCCCGGGCCCTAAATCTTCCTACCAAGTTTGACATCATTTTCAACTCAGACACGACTACTGTACATGGTGCGAGAAGATGAAGAGTGTGAGTTGGCCGGACTTGTTCCCACCATGCACAGCTCGCCAATCGTGAGAACCGGACCCTCAATTATTTGACCTGGATGCCGTAGGGTCTATAGGGATTGTGGATGTGAGTTGTGGGAATGAATTTCAATGGCGATGTGAACAGAGGAGACGGACCTACCTTCCCACGCAAGCTCACAGAGCGTCACTCGGAGAAATCCACCCCTGCCAAGTCAGCTTCACATGGGAACAATAGGCGATCCCTGACTCTCTCGTAAGCGGATAAACCCAGCGCCACCAGTCATCCAAAAAATTAAGCAATTGGCCCCCCTACTCGGGGTGGCGTCGGTAACTCCCCTTCCTTGTATTTGTCAAATCGGAACCCAGTGACGTCCACCGCAATCTCCGCCGGAACATCTCGACGCAGTGATCGATGCGGTCGTGGAATGTCTTCGGGTTGTCGTGGCTACTTCTTCGGGGCAGTCTTGGTAGTATTCTCCGTAAGGGTATTTACAAAGGAGGATCACGTCCAAGAGGTATGCCGACTCGGGGGGGTGGGGTTTAGTCTGGAGAGGGAGGAAGGAGAGGGGGAACGCATCACGCACTGGATATTACGGGAGACTTCTAATCTCGCCGTGAGCCCTGGCGGCGAACCTAGTAGGAGGGGATTGGAGTGCGGCCGGGATGTTCTCTGCCGTGGGAACCGTACGCTCGGGGGCGGGGGGATTGTCGATGCCGATGCAAACTAGATGTGCCTATCATATGATACCCGCAATATTATAAATTTTGACGTTGAGCTTGAATACCGGTATTACCTGTTGAGCCTAAACTGGAAGCCGGGTAATTTAGAGATTG